CCCCCAGTACCCTATGTGCGCGGGCTAGCAGCTGCATGCGCAATATTTTAGAGGCCCTCCAGTTATATAAAAAGAAATAAATGATGAGAAATGCAACAGGTGTAGGGTTTAGGGTTTAGGGTTTAGGGTTTAGGGTTTAGGGTTTAGGGTTTAGGGTTTAGGGTTTGCTGCAACTCGAGGAAATGCTGCGGGCCCCGAGGGCCCCTTTTTCCAGGTGCTGAGGGGCCCCCATGGAGACCACACAATGCTCTAGCTGCTGGCAGCAGCAGCAGCAGCAGCAGCAGCAGCAGCAGCGGCTGCCGCTGCTGCGGCTGCGGCTGCTGCTGCTCCTGGGCTTGTGGTTCTTCATGCGAGCTCCTGCTGCTGCTGCTGCTGCTGCTGCTGCTGCTGCTGCTGCTTCGCAGCAGTCACAAAGTTTGCTGCTGCGGAGTGGCTGCTGCAAGTTCAACCGCCGGTGGACGCCTGAAGCCTCACCGCTGGCAGCAGCAGCAGCAGCAGCAGCAGCAGCAGCAGAAACAGCAGCAGCAGCAACAGCAGACGCCGCAGCAGCAAACCGAGCAGGAGCAGCAGCAGCCGCTGCTGCTTGGCGGCTTGCTGCAGCAAATGGGGGCACCAACTCACTGAGGCTAAGAGGACCTGCTGGCCGTATCGGCAGCAGCAGCAGCAGCAACAGAGAGTGCAGCAGCAGCAGCAGAAGCAGCAGCAGCAACAGCAGCAGCAGCAGCAGAAGCTTTTCATTCTTAAGCCACAAAGCGCTACACTGTGCTGCTGCTGCTGCTGCTGCTCGGGCCCTACCTCCCCTCAGTGCTGCTCCACACTCAAAGAAGCGCCTGAGCCAGCAGCAGCAGCAGCAGCAGCAGCAGCAGCAGCAGCAGCAGCAGCAGCAGCAGCAGCAGCAGCAGGACAAGTACAGGATGTTGATTTTTAGCGAGGGCACGGCCGAAGAGCGGCAGCAGCTGTGGGACGAGCTGCTGCAGCAGCAGCAGCAGCAGCTGAGCAGCACGGGGCTGGTGGGCGTCAGCAGCGGGTCTCTGACAGCAGCAGCAGCAGCAGCAGCAGAAGCAGCAGCAGCAGCAGCAGGAGACGCGCAGCGCATTAAAGGCTACCAAATTGAAGACATTGATTTTGCTGCTGCAATGCCTCCGGGGCTGCCGCCGCTGCCTGCGGAGGCTGCCTCGCAGCAGCAGCAGGACCAGCAGCAGCAGCAGCAGCAGCAGCAGCAGCGGCAGCAGCAGCTCATTGAGGAGCTTAAAAGAGGAGCCAGGCAGCACGTTGTTCCCAGAGGAATGCTCCCAAGACTTAACCTCGACCAGATATGTAAGCCTTCTAGCTAGCTAGCCAGCTAGCTAGCTAGCTAGCTAGCCAAATGGCTAGCTAGCCAGATGGCTAGCCAGCCAGATAGCTGGCTAGCCGGATAGCCAGATGGCTAGCTAGCTAGCTATCCAAATAGCTAGCCAGGCAGCCAGGTGGCTAGCTAGCTAGCTATCCAGATAGCTAACCAGCTAGCTAGCCAGATAGATAGCGAGCCGTCTAGCCAGCTAGCTAGCCAACTTGCTAGACAGATAGCTAGCCAGCTAGCTAGCCAGATGGAAAGTCAAATGGCCAGCCAGACAGTTACCCAGCTAGCCAGCTGGCCAATCAGCTAGCCAGCTAGCTAGCTAGCTAGCCAGCTAGCTAACCAGCTAGCCAGCTAGCCAGACAGCTAGCTAGTCAGCTAAGGGTTCAGCTAGCTAGCGAGGCAGCTAGCCAGACAGCTGCCAGCTAGCTACAGAACTGGCTGCCCAGCTAGCTAGCCAGCCAGCTAGCCAGCCAGCCAGCTAGCTAGCCAACTGGGCAGCTAGCTAGCTGCTGAAGCGGAGCTAGCCAGCCAGCTGTTCAGCTAGCTAGCCAGTCAGCTGTTCAGCTAGCTAGCCAGCCGGGTGGCTAGCCGTCCTGACGCCTGCGGCAGCCGCAGCAGCAACGGAAGCAGCAGCAGCAGCAGCTGCTGCTGCTGCTGCTGCTGCCGCTGCCACTTACGCACCGCAGCTAGCTCGTGGCCCTCTAGCTAGCTGGCCAGCTAGCTGGCTAGCTGTGTGGCTAGCTGTGCGGCTAGCTGTGTGGGGTTTGCTGCTGCAGTGTTAGCAGCAGAAAAGAAAGTGCTGCCGCACCCCCACTTGACACTTGCTGTTGCTGCTGCTGCTTTCTTAACTTCTCGGGAGGCCCTGGGGCCCCTCTGTTTGCCCACGGAGGCCTTCACTATTCCAGCTTTGGGGGAGAAGCCTGCAGCAGCAGCAGCAGCAGCAGCTGCTGCTGCTGCTGCTGCTGCTGCTGCTGCAGCGGGAACGCCCAGTGCAGCAGCAGCAGCAGCAGCAGGCGCACCCTTCGTTGGCGTGCCCCTCCGCAACTGGGAGACATTCCCCTGGCCGCAGTACTTAGAAGGGCTGCACTTGGGGGAGCAGGTCTGCTGCTGCTGCTGCTGCTGCTGCTGCTGCTGCTGCTGCTGCTGCTGCTGCTGCTGCTG